CTTGAAATCTTGTTCACAAGCAGGAGAAGTTTGGGGAGGCATGCATATGGCTCCCCAACACCACTCGTTGCCAAGATCCACAGGAAAGGGAGCCTCCAATCCTGTCGCCGGCCCACCTCTTTGCACCGCTGCTCTGGCCCCTTCTTCCTTTGAGAGGCTTGGAGCCTGAGTTAATGTTAGTTATCTGCTGCCTTGAGGGAGAATAGGGAAGCAAAACCTGTAGACAGAAGTTCTTTCTCCCGCCTTTAGCCCTGCCCACCTCTCCAGCCCCACCTCCAAGCATAGCTTGATTGCAGTGGAGCTTTCTCAGGATCTGGGAGAAAAGGCAAGCAAGCCCCAGAGCTGCCACTCCCCTCTTCTCCACCACGGTTCCAACTGGCTCCATCGGTTTGAGTCCCCTCTGCTCTGACATTGGTTATCTTATTTATTAATATTACCCAGAGTATATTCAGCTCAGATTCCAATCCTGTCAGACAAAATAGAGCAAGCTGTAGCACCAGGTGTGTGTGCTAGTGGGACGTTCAGAAATCCTGTTTGCAAGCTAAGCTGTGTAGAGCAGGTTTTTTCTGGCATAACTTAGGAGACGCTTTCCTTTTTCACATAAGAGCACTGCATTTTCTTCTTTCTTCAGCCTTATTGCCTCATGGCTCACTCTCCATTCTCGAGCCTCAGGCTTCACTTTAAATCAAAATGGGAATGAATGTGACGAGATAAGGGAGGCTTCATGACATTTGAAAAGATATCACTGGTGCATATGCAATTAGTTATCCATTGAACACAAGCTGGCAATAAGTTTCTACCTATTTATTGAGTCACAACTGACAGATCTGTTTTGACTTGCCATATTTTGTTTATGCTTAATATTTGCATTATTCTAGAGCAGGGGTGGGCAAACTTTTTGGCCACATCTAGGTGGGGAAATTGCGTGCAGGGCCATGAATGTAGGGCTGGGGCAGGTGGTTGGAGTGTGGGGTGTGGGAGGGGGTGTGGTGTGCAGGAAGGGGTTAAGGGGTTGGGGTGCAGGAGGGGTGTGGGGTGTGGCAGGGAGCTCAGGGCTGGGGGTTAAGGTGCAGGAAGGGTGCGGCAGGGGCTCAGGGCAGGGGGTTGGGGTGCAGAGTGCAGGAGGGTGCTAAGGGCAGGGAGTTGGAGTGCAGGAGGGGTTCAGGGTGCAGGCTCCGGCGCAGCGCCACTTTACCTGGAGCGACTCCGGGGTGGCAGTGGTGCGCAGCGGGGCTAAGGTGGGCTCCCTGCCTGCCCTGGCCCCGAGCCACTCCCGGAAGCGGCCAGTACCACATCCCTGTGGCCCCTGGGAGGGGGTGGGGAGGGCTCCGTGCACTGCACTCGCCTACGGGTACCTTCCCCAAAGCTCCCATTGGCCGCGTTTCCCTGTTCCCAGCCAATGGGAGCTTCGGGGGAGGTACCCGCAGGCGAGGGCAGCGCGCGGAGTCCCCCGCCCCCACTCTCCTGGGGACGTGGTGCCAGCCGCTTCCGGGAGCGGCGCGGGGCCAGGGCAGGCAGGGAGCCTGCCTTAGCCCTGTGGCGCCATGGGGCTGGCAATCCCGCAGGCCGGATCCAAAGCCCACCCCTGTTCTAGAGGCATCCATTGAGATCAGAACCCTATTATACGAGGCACTCTCCAAACACCTAATGACAGTCTCTGCCAGGGAACTTGTGATCTCTTATTAATACACAGTAGGATGGGAAGGGAAACAGAAGCATAGAAGTGAAGTGGGTTACCCAGGATGCCGATGGCAGAACCAGGAACAGAACCCACGTGCCCTGGCTTCCAGTCCCCTAAATCATGCTGCCATGGTTAGATCTGGTGGTTAGAGGTTGGAAGTGAGAGTCAAGACTCTTGAGGCAATATTCTCCCACTGCGGGATGCAAATAAATTATGTTGAAGTCAGAGGGAGATACTTGGATCTGATGAGGGTCGAATCCAACATATCTAGTTCCATGCCAATGTTTGTCCCATGTGGCCCCGATCTAGGTTTTTTGAATGTTACCACAATACAAGTAATAAAAAAAAATAACCTCCTTTACCTCTTGTGTGACTTTCCCAGCAGTGCTCCCACTTTGGCAAGCAGAAGTGTTGAGAAATGCGTGAGAGCATTAATTAACACAAGCCACCATTGTAACTGCCGTCTGTATTGGCAGTCTGAATAGAGGGGTCAGGGATAGACACTAAAGTTTTCTTTTCCCACCCCTAATGCTGGGCTCTCCATTTCAGAGGCGGGGCACATTGAAGGGCGTGGGGAAACTTGCTCTGCGCTTGCATGTGTTGTGCCTCTTCTGTGGGCAAACAGGAGACTTCAGTTTGCAGTGTTGTCAATGTGGCATCTTTCACAGTTGCTCTTATGTGTGTTTCAATCCAATCAGTGTGGTATCTAGGTATCACCACAGTAGTTTGGTGTCAAGCACAGAAAAAACAAAGAGGAAAAAGGAAGAGAAATGAAGGTGGGGCAAGAGAGAGATGCTTAAGGAAAGGACAAATAGCAGTAGAGGTCAAACTATATATATCTTTTAATTTATCCCATGTACATTTTCACATCAGAGATTATGAGGCCCACTAAATCTGCCTTTTGTTTGCCTATTTAATTATTGTTGACACTTTGGCCTGAGCCATTAGCCAATATTTGGGGCCTTGCAGGATTGTTTCTGTTAGGATGAGGAATCAGTGAGGAGTCAGGTATCTTAGTGTTGTTTATAATTTATTTACAAAAATTCTACAGAAAGGCCCGTTTCCCTGAACTCAGTAGAAACAAACAGCAGCAGGCAGTTACCCTGCTCAGAGTTATCCTGCTCAGTTACCCCTCCAGCATGCTCTGTGCCTAAAGAAGCTCTGTCTTTGCTTCCTTCCAGGACCACCCTCACAATTCCTTCTACAGACTCTCTGCCTCCAATACACAGCCTGCAGCCCAGTCTCATAGCCCCAGCATTTGCGACCAGTGAAACCCCTCAGTCCCACACAGCTTAGTTCTCACCCTAATGCTTTGGATGGTATCCTCCATTTTTTGCAGCTGTCTTTACTACATAAAGGGCTTTGATTTGCTCCTTCTCTTGAGCCTTAAAGAGAGCAATTGGCACAGCTGTTGGCTTTAACGAGACCTGTGATTGTGTTGGATCAAGAACCCTCCACCGCCCCTTGTTCCCCTCCCCATCCCAATGGTAGCCATTAGCACCTTTCAGCATAACATCTTTTAAAATAAGATACATTATTCAAATACAATCAGTGCCCATATGCAAAAAAACTAAATATCCCTTCCAAAAGCTCCGGCTAAAATTTTTGAAATCCAGGAGCTTAAAACGAAGCGCACAAATTTAAATTTAACCACCTAAATAAAAGAGGCCTAACTTTTAGAAATACTGAGCTACTGTTGATTTCGGTGGCAGCTGCAGGTGGTCAGCATCTTTGAAAATCATTTAATTTAGGATACCTAAGGCTCTGATTCCGAAAAACAAAGAATACTCAAATACATGCTTGGCTTTGAGTATGTGATAAGTCCCATTGACATCAACGGTTAGCCAAATTCCTGAAGCTAAGGTTGTGCTTAAGTGTTTTCTAGAAATAAGGAACTATATATAGATAGCTAGTTTTAGGCACCCAGGTTTCAAATGGGGGGAGGGATAGCTCAGTGGTTTGAGTATTGACCTGCTAAACTTAGGGTTGTGAGTTCAATCCTTGAGGGGGCCGCTTAGGGATCTGGAGCAAAATCAGTACTTGGTCCTACTAGTGAAGGCAGGGGGCTGGACTCAATGACCTTTCAGGGTCCCTTCCAGTTCTAGGAGATAGGATATCTCCATTAATTTAATTTAAAAAATATTGGTTTTTATTTTGATGTACAGCTTTTGGTGATCTCTTTTTCATGGTTAGTTGATAATAGGTTTTCAGTAGAATCCTTTCTTGGTTTCATGGAATCATTAAGCAGAGCTATTCCCTTTAGAGAGTTCACTGTCAGCAGGCTAAAAGTTCCTACAAAGAGAACTGTAATTGTTGTTTTATTAGTACAGTCAAACTAATGCACTGTAATACCTAGATAAGTCTTATCATGGTTGAAAAAACGTCAGGCTCTTCATGTGCTTTGACCCACCGTTCATTTTACATCAAATACATTATGCAAAAAGAAGAATAAAAATAGGCCATTGTTTAGTAAAGGCTTCCTGAAAATCAGATTGTTTAAAGAGAGACTTTTTCAAAAGACTAAGACCAAATTCTTCTTCCTTTGGAAAATGGTTGTTTCTAAGTCTGAAAAGCCAAGTCCTCTGCAGAATCTGTGATGGCTGGTGCTGAACCATTTCTACCTTAGTGCATCTGTGATTTAATTGCACAGTATTTTTAAGTATCAAATAAAAGAGTGACACTTAACTTGGAGCAGTGAGTAAAGGGCAGTGCATAGCTATGCCAGGGAGGCAGTATGACTCAGTATGACAATCTTTTCTGACAGATTACTTTCCCCTCTGAGCTAGCTGAGCTGTGCTGGTCAGCATGTTATGAGAAGGTGAGGGGGGAGAATAGAGGCAAGGCTCTGCCCATGTCCTGCTCTGCTCCAGCCACTCCTGCCCATCTCTGTATGCAAGGGGAGTAGTAGCCCCTCAGAGCCTGCTCTATTCTCCCCTTCCCTCCACCATGATGCAGGGAGCAAAAATGCACATGACTTGCCTATGTCAAGTCACAATCTTCCCTTATATGAAGAAGTTTTTGTATCCTGGAAAGGTGACCTTGTAGGAAGATTTTTGAATTTCAGTTTCTGTCATTAAATAATTACTGTCTGACGCCCTCGCCCCCATAATTTCCCACAACTGTTAAAATGTAAATAGATAAAAATAGAAAAAGTGCTTCAAATTAAACATTGATATCTGTCAAAATTGTAAAACAAAACATTGAATTCTCCCTTGCCTATTTATGGTTCTGTGGTGATTGATGCATAAGCACTTTTAATCCGATTTTGAATTATTTTATTTTTAAATACTCATACATCTTTGTTTTATGTTTCTTCCAGGCTGCAGACTTAATTATTAACCCAGCTACCACTTTCAAGGAAAAACCAGACCCCAGTGGTTTGGTGTTCGGAACTGTTTTCACAGACAACATGCTGACAGTCGAATGGTCTTTGACTTCAGGATGGGAGAAACCTTATATTAGGCCTCTTGAGAACCTTTCATTACATCCAGCCTCATCATCTCTCCACTATGCTGTGGAAGTGAGTACCAAATGGATTAGGAAATTACCTTTTCTTTACTAGCTTTTGAAAACATCATGTCGTAGTACGTTCTAAGTACCATTACTGTCTTAGTTAGTTAGTACTGACCTAATGTGCTGAGTTAACACAGGTGTCACTCCTGAGTAACTCCATTGGCTTTGGTGGAGTTAGTTTTGATTTACATTTGATTAACTGAGAGCAAAATCTGGCTCAGGTTTTCCAGCTCACCCTGCTTCGTACTCTAGTGTGACACTGAAATGGTCTGTATGAGTCTCTAGGAAAGCTGATGGTATTAATTTGGGGACTGGGCATGCATACTGAAAAACTGATAGAATGCAGTCAAGATCCATAGCTTGGATTGCAGGACACACTAGGCAGATTCTTGTTTTTAATTCCCACTTGTTGACTAGTTCTCAGGCAATCTTATAAGATTAAAAATAAATGTACTAGAGCAGAGACCAAATAGCAACAAGGAGTTGCCCATAAGGAAGTGAAATGTTAACAGCCGGAAGCCAGCGTGGTTAATAGTTTTCAAAAATGCTTAGCTGTCTAAAGCTGCCTTTTCTGTGTTATTGGAGCGGCTTGTGCTAAACTCTCATCCGTGTCAGAGCATCAGTAGGGACACATTGAGCTATCTAGGAAATACAGTGAAAACATTGGCCTGATTCTCCTTCCACTTCAGCATAAATCAGGAGTGACTCCAATGAATTCAATGGAGTTACACTGGTGTAAAAGAAGAGAAATAGGCTCATGGCTTTTTCTTTTTTTGCCTGGGAGACTCCTCTGAGCCACAAGGCTCTGGCCTACCCCGTTTTTTCCATTCAGTCAACTAACCTTCAAGGATCTGTGTTATGATTACAGGTCCCTGTGGCTGAGGGCGGCTAAATACGGCTCTTGATCAGCCCAGGGAGCAAGAAACCACGCTGGAGTCCCAAATGTATGTTTCACTCATAGTAGCATATTGCTTTAATGCTAGGCCTCTGGCCCAGTCTGAAATCATTGCTAATATGAATATGCTCTTATTTTTTTCCATTTTTTATTCTTTTTACTTTTGTTGCATCACGTTTCCTCTAGCCAAGAGGAGAGACAGAGGAGAATCTGGTCCCAATGGTGTGGCTCAATGAATACACAGTGGGTATATTAAAAATGATGAATTTGGCATTTCCCCCTCCCTTCTCCTTGCCCTCCATGATACACTGTGATATCCTGGATCTGCTAGCCTCTGGATCCAGCTCTTGTGACTTACAGATGTCAGATGATATAGTGTGCACACATTTACAGCCCTGCAACGGTTTGCAGCAGCAAATTGTTTAAAAACCAGCAAGCAATTACAGCCGTTGCTTTTATTAGAGCTGGGCATTCCCAGAACACACCGCAGGTACTCTCTCTTTACAAGTGAAAAGGTTTTCTGTGCTCTGAAAAATGACAAGCATCCATCCATGGAGAAAAAGATTTAAAGGCTTGAGCAATCTTTATGTTGCAATAATGATGTGATTCTTGCTTCTCTGAAATCATTGATCGTATCTTAGACTAACATTCCTTCCTCTTTCTCTCATAAAACATTCTGTAAATGAATATTGGGGAAAACAGCTGTTTTGTAATAACCACAATTGGCACAATAAGAAAATTATGGTATTAGCTGATTGCTAGTCCAGTACAAAATCCTATTAAAGTTCCTATATCATCAGCAATGCCGTGACTTATTAAAGGTGCATTTTGTTCTCTGGCTACAGTGTCAAATTTTGTTGTGGGATGGTTTCCTTTTAAATTTGTACAAGAAGTTTTAATGAAGCGGAAGCTGGCATGGTCCACAGCACCGAGAAGCAAGAAGCCCTGAGTTCTAATCATGGCTCTGCCACTTGATTGAAGTATGGCTGAGGGGAAAATCACTGAGGCTCTGTTTATACTACAGCTGGGTTGTCCTGTGACCCAGTTACGACACAATTAAAATTTGTGGTGTGGACAAGACCTCACTGTGTCCTGGAAGCTGCATTAAAGCCTTTGATAGTCCTCTACTGTACTAACCCTTATGGAAAAGTGCTGTAGAATGTAATAGTGATGAAACCATTTAAGTTCTATAGAAACTACTCTAAAAACAACTCCTAGAACTTAAAGAATTGAATTGTTTTGGTATGTTTTTAGAACTATTCGGTCACATAGAACTAGTTTTCTATTACATTCTATAGGATGGTCCAAAAAACTATGAGCTAGATTTTCCAGTCTGCTCTCATGGTTCAAAGTAGCTGGATTCTGGCCATAAGAATTCTTGAATTCTTCTTCTGGCATAAAGCTGAGGGAGCTGACTTCTGTGCCACCTGTGTCCTCCACCCGTTTCACCCCATCTCCCCACATAGGGGTGTGTTGGGAGACAGATGGAGCAAGCCTCAGCTGCTCTAACTACTGCCAGGGCCAGTTGATACAGGATCAAGGGATTGTAACAGGCTTCCTTAGTTTTCCTTCAGAATAGGCACACATCAGGTGGAGATCTAAAGAAAATTTATCATTCCTTATTAAATTCTATAGGACTTTTCCATAAGGGAAGATGCTATTTGGGATCAGTCCTAGGTATTAGTCAGGGTATGAGGGTATCATAAAGTCTCACCCATGCTACACATTTTAATTGTTGGAACCAGCTCAGGATAATGACATTATCACCAAGTCCCCTGGGACAGATGTATTTGTAGTGTAGGCAACTACACTAACATGTGGTAACATGGGAGTAATAATACTTATCTACCTCACAGGGGTGCCGCAAAGATTAATTAGTTAGAATTTATGCAGTACTTTGAAGATGTAAAGTGTTTATGAAAGTGCTAAGCTCTGTTACTTCCAAAGGGCATGTTTTATTTTTGTATTGGTGGTCATGGGATAACCCAGCACAATTTTCATTTGGCTCCTTTCTCCTTTTGGGTTGGTAGCTGTTTGAAGGAATGAAGGCTTATCGAGGAGTGGATGGTAAAATCCGCCTGTTCCGTCCAACGCTCAACATGGACAGGATGGTGCGGTCAGCGGCGCGAGCAACACTGCCAGTATGTAACTGAAACCTATCCTTTCCTTGGGTTAGGAAAGTATTTTTATTTTTAGGGTGTGAGGCTTTGAAGTGCGCAGGAGTTGTAAACCCTTGCTGACTACAAAGAAAATACAGTACTTCCATTTAAATCTTGTTAGGAGTCTTGTCATGGTGAAGGGGTCATTGTAGGGAGCTGGTGAAATTAACTCTTCTGCTAAATGAGTGTTTTTCAAACTGAGGGTCCTGACCCAATAGTGGGTCACAAGGCTATTGTAGAGGGGTTGCAGTATTGCCACCCTTACTTCTGCGCTGCGTTTGGAGCTGGGCGACTGGCCAGCAGCAGCGGGCAAGGGGTGGAAGGGGGGAAGGGTCATCACAGCCTGAAATATTTTCAAAGGGGGGCCTGGCAAAAAATAGTTTTAGAATCTCTGTGCTAGATCATTGGCACTAAGATGGAGGTTAATTTTCTCCATCTCTCCTTGCTGCCCTTCCCCACTGATGGAAATTAAAGTTCAGGGGATTAATCAATCCTTTAGAAGCTGAAGGCATATAATACACACATCCTTCTAAACATTTATATACAGACAGTGGGCCAAATTGTACTCTCTCTTACGGTTATGGAAGTCCATGGGCTTGCACAAGTAGAATTTAACCCATTGTTTCCAGTGGCTAAGTCTTCAAGGTCAGAGTTTTATTTTCTGGCTCTGCTGCTGACTTGCTTTGTGACCTTAGTCAAGTCCTGTAGCCCCTTGGTACCCCAAGTTTATCACCATGCTGCTTTAGCAGGACAAGATATGTGCTCCTATTAGTTGCACCATGGCCTCTGTGTTCCCTGCTATGCTTGTTATGGTGATATTGTATGTAGGAATTCTATAGTGAAATGTTCATCATTATCCACAATGCTCTGAAAATTCACAGGCCTTAAATTCTGATCTAAGCTCTGGGAACAAACTGCTAGGATCATCCAGGTATATCTCACTTAATCAATACCCTACCATTGAGGGGCCTTGGGCATTGGTACACCTTGGTGCCTCCTTTTTTCTGCCTATGGCACACAATAGTATTGTCTCCTGAGGGCTGTAATATTTTAGTCTAATCCAGGTTACTGGGCTCAGTGCAGAGGGAACTGTGTGGGTTTAGTGGCCTGTGTTATACAGAAGGTCAGACTAGGTGATCTGGTTGTCCCGTCAGGCTTTAAACTCTATGTGACCCTGAAAAGTTTAGGGATTGCCCATGCACACACTGAGTTCTTTAGTGTGCTTTGTACAACAGAATTGGAGGTGAGTAATCCCACTGGTTCTTTCTTTGTGTTTGTGAAATATATTTCACAATTTCATTAAGGATCTTTAGACAGCTCATTTCTTGGCACTTAAAATCACATGGCCTTTTCCCTTGTATCTTATTACACAGCAAGGGTGATGTTAGAATCATGGACTTTTATAGCTTGCAAACATTTCTTCATCATGATTAAAAGTTCCCATTAGAACAGGGGCGGACAAACTTTTTGGCCTAAGAGCCGCATCGGGTTTCGTAAATTGTATGGAGGGCCCGTAGGGGAGGGGGTTGTGGCTTGGCCCCCACCTTCTATCTGCCGCTCCCCCTCCCCCGGGACTCCTGCCCCATCCAACCCCCCTTTTCCCTGATGGCCCCCCCGGGACCCCTGCCCCATCCACACACACCCACTCCTGTCCCCTGACTGCCCCCGGGCCCCCGCCACCCCATCCAGCCCCTCCTCTCATTCCTGATGGCAACCCCGGGACCCCTGCCCCATCCAACCACCCGTTCTCCCTGTCCCCTGACTGCCCCCGGAACTCCTGTCCCTGACTGCCCCCTGCCACC